ATATATATATATTTAAAGGGACTTAAGTACGTAAACGTATCATGCATGAGGTATAGCCGTGTTTATGTGGGCGGGCATGGCGGAGGGAACATTATACACGAGGCATATACGGCAGCAGAGGCGTCGGCTGTAGGAATATATAAATGAATATTAACATATACGTATATACGTATAAATATTAATATATATATATATTATATATATATATTAATATTAGCGGTGGCGGTAGGAATATATAATCTTCGCATAATATCGCGGCACTTTCGTTGGCATCGACGACGCGTTGTCCGGCGTGTTCCTCGGACGTCAACAGGTTAGCAGCGTTGATAGCGACGGTGCGCGAGTGCGGATCGAATCGTAGACGTTGTCACTTTGACAACGGGAAGAAGACTGCGGTATCATTAGCGTAGGGACGTCGTCGGCCGTGCGGCGTTTGCTGGACTTTGCACAGCGGCGTATAACGCGAGGTGTTGGTCAGTCAAATACTCATAATAGGGCGACGGCTGATAAAGGTGGCACGAGTCGTGGGGCATTGTGTATAATGAAACGACGCGGGCTGTGTCAATTACAATAAAAATTTGTTATATATATACATAATTGATGACACGCGCGCGTCTACGGGTTAGAAAATATTGTTGTCTATGAGTGGTGAGCGGGGTGGGGCGAATGCGTTACGACAGTCTAGTCTCAAGGTCACACACGACGGGATACGTAACATAATAACACGTGCCGCGTGGAGTTACAAACTTACAAACAACAAACGACAAACAACAAACAACAACATACACGTGAAACTAATATAAGCGTGTTAAAAATAAAAAAAATAAAGGCTAGCAATTCTAAAAGGGTGAATAGCGCATATAAAATTTACCCTACAACTTTTTTATAATTTCAGTACCATTGCTGTGCCCTGTTCAAAGGAGGCACTAACACGTGTTGTTCTCAATGAGTCGTTCAGCTATTAGTACGACAACTGTAGTTGCCTACACATATTGCTCAGTCCACCAAATCTCAGCCTCGTCGTCTGTTGGCCACTATATTACTGTTTTGTTGCGTTTACGACGTATCAATTTAAAGTCTCGTTTTACGACTCGCATAAACACGTTTTCACTTTCGACGACTTAACGGATACCTTTTTACTAACGATCTGCTCTGGTTACGACTTATCTAAATTACCTAGTTTATTACTATACTGTTGATTGTAATTAAAATTTGAATTGTTGAATAATTGTGTAATAAACAGGTATGACTTTTTATTAACTTATTAACTTTGTCAGTTACATTTTTACTAGATAAGTACAATTTTGTGTATCAACCTTGTGACACTACAACTCCTTTGACATTATATCAGTGTAAAATTTTATGAAGAGTAAAAATAAAAAGTTATATGCCAAAATTATTAAAATAATTTAAAATATTCTCACTCTATAAATATATCATAATATTTGGCATTTTTTTTTTTTTTTTTGAGAAAAATATATTGAATCACCATTGTTTTAATTGAAAAAATATGTTGATAATGGTAAAATTGTTCTCGAAATACGTAAAACGATTTTAGTAATTTATCATGGCTTTTTGAATTAAATATTTATAAGATTATTTAGTTTTAAATTAATATTATTAATATAATTTTAATTTTAAAAAATATTAGCCACAAGTGATCAGATTTGTTAAACATTATTATTAAAAAATAACACGTAAAAAATATATTTTATAAATAATTACATACTTCCGCCTGTGTAAAGTATGCCAAAAATACATCAATAATAGCTACGTCTGGATGGTTATAATCGTTTATACAATCAGTAACTTGTTTGAAATAACTTGACTCAATAGAACCCATTCCAACAATACAAGCTCGAATTTCACTTTGGTTTAAGGGTACCGTAGATTCAAAGTCAAAAAGTGTATTATATCTACAAATGTAATTATTATTAAAACTTATATAAAGTATAATTTTTATTACGGATGTACTGATGCTTTTAAATTATCTGGAATAATTTGTTGTAATGCAGCAGAAGCTTCAGGAATAATATCACATAATTTATCTATATTACCAGTTATGTGTAATTTAATATTATCTGGATTAGCTAAAAATAATTTTAATTTATTCAAATCTTCATTTACAACTTTCCAACCTTCTTCAGTTTTGATTGTTTTTTGCAAACTTGTTAAAAAATTATATTGTCTTAAAGTACTACATGCATAATCATTGTAATCTGAAAAAAAAAATTAATTAATAGCAATATTAATATTAACAAGGAAATTAAAATAATAAGTAATGAAATAAAGTAAATTATTATATATTTATAAATACATGGAGATTTGCAAATCTTCCATTTTTAACAACCATGTCTATTCCACTTAATAATTTGATATTAAAAAGAGTATCTAGAGTATTTTTTTAACATTAACAGGTTAAATCCCAAATTATTTAATAGAGATAATAATAAATTATTCTTTTATTATTATAATGATTTTAAAAAAGCACATGTAGTCTTAATTTATTATAATGTTATTTTGCTAATTATTCCTTAAATTAATGTTTTAATGTCTCGATTTTATGAACAAGCTAGTGAATGTTATAATAATAACATTTATTATTGAATCTGTTTGTACAATAATAAATCCAATTTTATTAGCACTAATAGTCCATTTGGTTTACCCTTTTTGACTCACTATTCCTAAATGATTCTTTTTTAGAGATGACTATCATTAAGCTGAATTGGGTATCACCTAAGAAACGGTTGATAGTATAATTTCTAGACTGTATTTACTTTTGGTAATTATTTGTGTTGTTCCACAAGTTGTCGGGAATTTTTTTTTTTTACTTGAAATATATTATAGTAATTTGCATAATTTTTAATTTAACATATTATCATAGTCCAGAATATTTTTAAAACAATTTCAAAAGTTATGTTGAAAAAGTTTTATTTTATATATATATGTTTCAAGTTTTGAAACCACTCTGTACTAAAGGAATTTAAAAATATATATATTGGATGAAAAGAATATGTATGAAGTACTTATAAAAAAATTGTATTAATGCAATTATTTTTTAAAAAGTTATAGCAATTTAAAATTGAAAATATAAAATTTGACCACAATAATAGCATGTTTTATATCTTATAGTATGTAACATGTGTTTTTACTTTACAAAATGGCAACAATTGCCATTTTGAATCTCTCCCTGTGGGTAAGAAAAGGTTTGGGGGATTTCCCCAATTTATAGGGAAGGAGTGAATTTTTTTAATTTTGAAGGGCAATGTCTTCATATAGATACGATTTGTGATCTTTTAACGTATCGTTGAAAGAAATCGGTCAGTTGAGAGCTGAGAATAAATGCTGACAGATCAAGAAAAACATATTATAGCAATATTAATACTTTCTCAGCTTCGCATATAAGCTAAAATTTCAAGCACATCATGAATTTCGATTTTAATTAACATCGTGATAATGTCAACAATTTTTTAATTTTCAATATTAAACTATGTGTATATACATAGTGATTGATTTATCATTGTCCATGAAATTTCTCCTAAAATAATTAGAATATTAAAAATATTTCTTTGGCTTTGTTGAGTAGTATATACATCTTTCGATTTATAATTATTTAAATACTTTTCAGGTCTAAGAGATTCCTTATAAAGGTACCAACATTTTTTGATGGCTGTATATATGTATATATATACCGTTGCTTTACTTTACATATCTCTATCATGCAATGGTTTAAAAAGTGTAATTATATAATATAAATATATAATCTATTTCAATAATTACCTTGTTTGTACATCATATTCATTAAAATTTGGTTTAACATATGGCTTTCATCTCTACGATAGCTAGAAACTTCATTTATAATATTTGATAAATTAATAGAAAACTTTTCTTTAGTAATGACTGTATTATAAAGGAAATCATGAAGCCATTTAATGCTTTTATGATAATTTTCTGGTACGACCTATTCAAATAAAACATTTAATAAAAACTTTAAGTTTCAAATATCAATTATGTAAATAAATAATTCACCAACTATTATATCCAATATAATAACATTTTTTGATTATCTTTTGTAAAACAAAAAAATATATTTAAATAATAAGAAATTTTATCGTATTAAAATATTTCTAAAATCTTATTTAATTATGCATTTATTTTATTATACTAACAATAATAAAATAAAATCATGAAATATATTATATATAATAAATAAATAGAAAAAAAATTCTCGTTTTATAAATTAAAAAAATTGTAAATACTTTTTTTCATTAGAACATACAGAAATCGTTAAAAGTACAGCAGAGGAAATAAAACCATTAGAAAACGGAGATGTTGAATAGATCCCAACAGATGCACTATATGAAACAACATCTTTTTTTAATTCTGCAATGACATCGGCATATTCTAATTTCGTACCATTTCGTATAACAGTACTTTCCGTAATCAAATCAAGATAAATGGGTAAGTATTTTCTAAGATTCAATGCTAAATCTTTAGTGTTGATAATTACATTCATCTGGATGGAATTATAGAATAGTATAATTAGTAGGTCTTAAAAGTACTTAAAAATTATTCATAATTATTTTTACTTACGTAAACAAAATTACTTTTAACATTGTCTATTTCAACAAATAATGGAACTTCAGAAGTTTTGAATAAATTGTATTGATTTATTGAATTTGATGAAGAAGTATCAGGAGTTAAAAACTGTATGAGTTCAACATTAGGGATTTTAACTGACGTCAATATTTCATTGGGTGGTTTTTTCTAAAATTTAAGAACTCATAAATTAATTGAGTCCATTAAATCACTGTTATAATATTTCATTAAAATTTCAATGTAAGATAAAATGCAAATTATTATTTGAGTCTTCTTCTTCTTCTCGTTCTTCCTCGCCTTAATCCAACTACTTGGAGTCGGCCACCCTTATCCAAAACTTCCACTTGACACGATCATCTATGCTCACTACAGTCTTGTAGAATTTACTTTTCAGTCTCATTGGAATTCTTTTATCGTATACGACACCAAACGCTTCTCTCCACTACAACCACCCGCACTTAATCCTGTGTCTTATATCCTTGTCAATACCACCACTCTTTGCACAACTGACCCTAAATACTTAAAACTCTCTACCTCTCCAATCACGTCTTCGCCTATTGTCACTGACCTCCTCATTTCACTTACCTCGTGTTCTCCTTTGTCAAACTCCTACTCAACATACTCTGTCTTATTTCTACTTATTCTTAAACCCTTTTCTTCAAGAGCTGATCACCACACCTCTAGCTTTTGATTAATTTCCTCCCTATTTTATCCTATTAACACTATATCGTCAACAATCAACATACACCATGGCAACTCTCCTTGTATTTCTCTAGTAATTTCATCCATCACTATAGAGTATAAGTAAGGGCTTAAAGCAGAACCCTGATGCACTCCTACTCTTTCCCTAAAACCTTCAGTTACTTCTGATACACTTTATACCCTAGTACAAGTGCCATCATACATATCCTCTATTATATTAATGTACCTTTTCAGGACTCCATTTTTCATTAATGCCCACTTTAGAATCTCTCTGGGTACTCTATCATACACTTTTTCCAAATCTATAAATACCATACTAAGCTTTTTTTTTCCCCTAAACTTTTCTATTAGTTGCCTCACACAAAATAATGGCTTCATTGTTGACTTACCAGGCATAAATCCAAACGGGATTTTAGATACCGATGTCTTATTTCTTATTCTCTTAACCCAACCTCTCCCAAATTTTCATACTATGACTCATAAGTTTTATGCTTCTATAACTTCACACTCCTGTTTGCCTTAAATAATGACAATTAACTTAAACAATATTTAATAGATAGCGTGTGTAATAATTATCAAGGTTTTTGAAATTAATATGCAGGGTGTTCAAAAAATAAGGAAACAGGTTTCTATTGTTCTCATTGTTTGTAACAATTGACCTGTTTCCTAACTTACTAAACATATGATTAACAAAATCAATTACTTTGCAGAAAAATTGTTCATTGCTATTTTAGGACTCTTATATCATAAATGATAATTATTATAAAAATATTTATAATTTAATTCATTTTATATTACTTCAGATTCTGTTTTGGCATTCTGTAGTTCAATAGCTTTTAATTTTAAACCTTCATCCCCTAATTCTTTTTTGCGTTGTGATACTCTTTGAATTTCTTCATTAGCTAGCTCATCTCTTTTTTTTATAGATGGAATTCCTCTTACAACTACATTATGATTGTTTATAAAATAATCAGTTAAAATCTCTTTCCAAAACGAGATATCTTCTTTGAGAAGATTATTCAAAATGCTAATTGTGTTCAATCTTTCATCTAACTAAAATTATGCAGCCAGAATAATTTATGTCATGTGCTTTTAATATTATTTTATTTTACTTACATCTGATTGACTCTTTCCATACAAAAAGTCACTAATTATTAATTTTGATAAAGTAGAACTAGGATCAGTTTCTAGACTATTTAATACGGATAGTTTATATTCTTCAATAGATGTTCTCAGTCTTTCGAGGTTAAAATAATCACCATCATCGATAAGCTTTTTAAATACTTCATTTAACTTTAATGGTATTTGTTTTTCATTTAATTTTTGAATTGGTACACTTTGAAATTGAAGAACTATACATGGATTTAAATTATCGCTAACATAGTATGCTACCTTGAAATAAATTAATTAAAATTCATTAAGGATAATTGATTAAACTATATAAAAATTGTTTTATTTTTACCGAGCTACACAATGGATCAGGTATTTCAACGAACTCCTTTACTAAAGGACTTATTGGGGTATAAGTCAAATAATATAAAAGTGAGTTGCAAGCAGTATACCTATAAAAAAAATGTCTAATTTATGTTAAATAAAGTACATAGTTTTAATGTGTTCAAAAAGTAAGTTGTTCTTGTTTATATGGTTCTCTAATTTTAATTGTTTGATTATTCATGTTTCAAATATAATAATTTTTAAAGGATAATTCTTCATATTTTAGTCAACGAATTTATATAGAGATAAACAATTCTCTGTTATCACTTTTTCTTAGAGCTCACCGAACCAATTTCTTTCAATCATACGTCAAAAGATTACAAATCGTATCTTGTCAAAGAAATTAATTTTTTTAGGGTAATTACCCTCAAAAATTGAAAATTTTCTTTGTTTCCCGTAAATGGGAGAAATCTTCAAAAGAAATTACAAATTTATAAATTGCTAATTTTCGACATTTTATCAATATTTTTTACTTAAAACTGCCATAACTTTTTTAAAAATGACCAAATCAAAATCATTTTTTTTATAGATATATATGGTATTTACCTATCATTTTGTATATTTTTGTGAAAATGAACATTAAACTTCATAAAAAAACCCAGCACAGTTGGGACGTGGCATAGTTGGGTCCAGGATAGATTTAATCTGACAGTAAATAAATTCACTATCATAAGAAACGCTTCGATGGAAATCTGTAGATAGTGTTTATTTCTAAGAAATTGGTGGATAATTACAAAAGCAACATCAACTTCAATTTCTTTAATTATTTCCAGAATAGTAATTCTTAGATTCAAAAATATAATATATAAATTTATAATTAATTGTTTTCAAATTATTATTGATTTTGATTTTTAATATTTTGAAAGTAATAATTTTTAACATACTTTTTTTCGTCCTTTTAAGTGGAAGTTTATAATAAAAAAAAAAAAATGAATTTATTATCACTTTTAGCTCAACTTACAAGTTTGAAATTGACATCATTAAATAGAAAAAAATGAAATTTTTAAGATTAATATGCATTCAGCAAATTTTATAATTACTATTGACAGTAAATTTATCAGAAAAGCTCTATTTTTGTTTGCATTTTTTTCTTAATAGATCACTTAAATAGAAATCATAGTAATCATATCTAATTAACTTAAGATGTTTAAAAAGATTCTAAAATTTAAATATTCGGAACATAATTAATATTAATTTTAATTTAATGACTTACTTTAACTAAAAAACCAATAAAAAAAATTGCTAAAAAAATCTACGCAATTGAGCGTATTATAAAATTTGATTATAATTATAGAAATCCATTGTTAAATTCAGGTGAAACTAAAAATCATTTTTTTAGAAATTATTAATATATCAACATGTTACCAAAAATTTTGGAGCATTATAGACTAGTAGAAGTACATACAAATAGAGTTGAAAATTAATGAATGACAATGTAAAATTATTTAATTATTAAATTATTTTGTTGTTAAAATTTTTATCACATTAAAACTAATTCAACAATAAATACATTTTCAAAATATTAGCAATGAATGATTTTAAAAATTTGTATAAAGAAAGCTGGTTAAGAGGACGCCAAACGGCCAAATGAAATAATGATATTACTAAGAGAATGCGTTTTTAGATGTTTTACAACTGAACTTTTTTATCAATCTTTATCTATCATTTCAAATAGCATGCGCGTACCTGTACAGTCGACTAATATGAATATGTAATTATAATACATATAATAAGATTATAATATATTCTTTCGAATGCCACCTCTTAATTTTTAATTAATAATTTATTCACTACTATGAAAAAATTAATTCTATAGATCATTTTAAATAATTTATTGTGTTATATGAAATCTCTAATAATAATATCTAGTAATATGTATGTAGTAAGTATTTAGTTAAGTTAAAATCATTTGATATAATTGAAGAATTAATCATTTAAATTTTTGCCGATTGTAAGTCGATTCTTTTCGATCAAGAATAGAGAATAAGTTTTTTTTTTTTTTAATCTTTTTATGCAGTGTTACTATCCGCGAAATCCCGGTAGAAGGTGACAGTGCTTTGCACACCCTCTTACGGTGCGAGGCGTGGACCCAGGAGCGATTTCGGGCTGATTCACAACGTGGTAGTGTGAATTATAGAGGCGGCGTGGGCCGCTATGAAGTAATGCCTAACGGCAGTTCCAAGGCCGCCCACAAAAATGCCTGCATATGGTATATGCTGTAGACTCATATACAACTATGTTTTCTAATGTTACAAAAAATCATTCCACCTAATTTTCTGACAGATTTCCGATCAATAGATGTTTATATCTTGTCGCTATTATAAGTTGTGGTTTAAGTGCTATGGGCTATTATTACGATGCTTAACTGAGTCACACACATTTTTAGTGGCTATAAAATTAAAGACATTACCCTTATAAGTTGAAAAAATATCACTCATACTGAGTAAATTAAGAAAATACCAAAAAATTCGGATTTTTGAAATTGGCAAATTTCAGCATTTTCAAACCTTTTTGAGACTAAACTGCCATAACTTTTTAAAAAATGAATAAATCAAAATAAATTTCTTAATAAATACTATAGATATATTCCTTTTATTAGATATTTTTATTTTAGAACTATTACCCTTTACCTGTCCACACATGGGATTCAAAATTTTATCCTGATGTTAAACAATAAATGTTATTTTGGTTTAAAAGTCAACGTATTTTGTGTTATAATTTTCTAGTTCAATTATTTATGCCTATGTTTTAGGTCAAATGGTATAGTCGTATAGAAGGTACATATAGAGTATGTAATGTTATTGACAATCTACAATCACAAAAATTAGATAAATATGTCGACATGTAGTAAGTACGATAAATTCTAAAGTGTTGGAAAACATAAAATACACAGAGGTGTCAAAAACGAACAATATCGTAAAATATCGTACAAAATTAACGGTAGAGTTGATCTTCGGAAGAAAATAAACGCATCATCAGCAAATTTCGACAGCCGAAAGCTGCCTTTGTTCGGTATCAAGAGTGGGGAACAATGCGTGATGATCACCGGATTATCGTATTAATAGCTGACCGGCTGATATCGAAAGAAATATAAGTGAGTGCCCGCCTAATGCAGGGTGCGGTATGTGTCAAAAATTATAATTTTAATATTAAGTATATTTTGTAAGTAATATTATATATAATAATATTACTTATAATATTGAATAGATTAAATACTTGTATATATAATTTGGCACAACTGGACTTCTCCAACCAAAAGTGACAATACCATTTGTTTCTTCATCACTTGGAAATAGTTCTACATAATTTAAAGATTCTGTTAAAGGATCTACAGGGCTTTGCCAGGGTTTTACAAATTCTTCACGATATCCCTTCATTTTTAATATTTAGAATTAAAAAATCATTAATAATAAAATTAAATATAAATTTCATTACTTTTGATAAAATCTTTTGGATAACTGGTTCTAGACTATTGAAAAAAGAAGAGTGGTCTACTTTTCCAGTAATTAGAAGTAACAGATTTTCTGGCCGGTAATATTCATGATGGTATTTACGAATTTATCAAATTAAATTTATTAGAAACACATTATTATTATGTATTATATTATGAATAGATTTAATAATAATCTTTTGTACTTTTTCAATTGTAGTTGACTCTCGTAAATTTTTCATAAGTCCTCCTTGTATTGATTTATAGCCAGATTTACCAGGATATATTTTTTTAAGCAACGAATAATATACAATATCTCCAGAATTATTTTCACGTCCTTGCATTTCAGAATAAACAACACCAGCATCTTTACCTTCTGAAGTTACATGATGAACTTCTGTGACAAAACCATCATCCTAAAATTTCAATAATATTAATGATAATTTATAAATAATTATCCATGATTGAGTAAAAAAAAAAATAATAATAATAATTACTAAAAAAAATTACAGTTAAAGTGGGATATAAAATATGATCAAGATAAATTGGTAGCAATGAAAGAAATCCTTCACTCCCGGCTGTGCTGATTGTATAACGAGTATGGTCCACACCTATTAATTAAAGTATTACTAATTAGAATCTAGGCAATAATAATAATAATTTTTGATAAATTACCAGTCGCGGCATTGGTTCCTGAAGCAAAACAACGATTTGCTAATAAATTAAGAACTCCTTTGTAAGGATAATCTTCTGATCCAAGAAATATTAAATGCTCTAATGTATGAGGAACACCATCATCATCATGAGTTTCCGTGGCTAAACATTTAATAAAATAAATCATTTTTATGTCAAAATATAACTTATTAAATTAATTTACCCAAAGTGAAATATCCATTTACAAGAGGTCCATCAATGTCACCAAATACAATAGTAATTCCAGTACGTAAGCATTGATACTTATAAACTGGTATAACATTTTCAAATAATGAATGATTGAGAAGCCTATATTTATCAGCAAAATTTTGGTTTATGATACCATCATTAGATGCTAAAATAATATCGGTTATAAACCCAAAAATTAAAATACTTTGTAATATGATAAGAAGGTACCCCTTCATTTTTGTATACGTGTATATTTTATATTTTAAATTTATCTTGATTGAGCCGTCTGCTTTTTGCGATGGCGTTTTATATCTTTTTGTTTTTGATAATATTTGATCAGCTTTAATGCAACTTCAATAACATTGTCAAAAACATTTAAAAATCTAACAAATATTTGGTAATAATCAGTTTTCTAACTTTTACTTTTGTAACTTAAACAGTCACATTTATTTTATCGTATAATTAAATAGCAAATTGATTAAAAATAGATACATAATTTAAAAAAAAAAACATTTTAATTATATTTTTAGAAAAAAATATTTTTTAATTACTCATAACGTGTCAGAATCATTGTTCTTTCTATTTAATGTTCGGTAAAACTTTGAAGAAGTCATATTATCATTTTGATAGGCTTAAAATTAATAGTTTCCAGAGTTTTATTTATTCATTTACTGGTCCTAAATTAAATAAGTAATGATTCTTTGTGAAATTAACTACCTAATTTCACATAGAATTTATTTATTAATTTTATTTAAGGTTTAAGTTTTCTTTTTATGTTATATAATAACGTGACTTTTTTTATTAAATTTCATTATTATTTAATAATCTTATTAGTTTTTTTAGTCATGTTTCAATAAAAATAAATTTAAAAAAAATACATCATAATAAAATTAAAAGCTAAAAATGAATTATAATTTTTATCTAAACAAAGTAAAATGTTAATTAAAGTCTTACTTCGTAAATTATTTATTTACTTATAATTTACGCCATGAAAGGTTAAGTAAAGTTATGAATACTTGAAGTTAATTTAAAATAAAAATTATAATCTTTGCATAATGATCAATATGTTTATGAATTTCACAAATTTTTAGTTAATGATATTATCATTTAAATCAGTATACAGGTTGCTTGAGTAACTATGCCTCAGGCAATAACATTAAGCTATAAATCCCATTACAATATTTTCGTTTTAGTAATAATTCGTTAATAGTATCCTATGCTCTATGATTTAAAAAAAAATAATAATTTGTCTTATCTCTTATTAAACTTTTTGAAAATAGTATCAATTTTAGTTTAGTATATGGAAACATATATATTTAACTAGTTTTAAAATAAAGTAATGATCTAACTAAGAAAATGATCGATCGTTTACAACTTTAAACTAGTATTTTGGAAATAATTAACACTTTACTAAATTGACTGGATATGAATCGTATTACACCTCCCGCCATAGTATAAAAGTGTTAATATCTTACACTTATATTACAAAACTTTAAACTATTTATGATCAGAAAATATTAGTAAATTGTGGCCAATAATATTAATACTCAAACATTATTCTCATTAATAATATTATAATAAAGTATATTGACAAACATAAATAGATTTAAAAATGATTTATAAAAAACTAATTATCGTAAGGTAGGTGTTGTCAATTGACACTTAATGTTTATTAAGCTTCAAATAAATATTAAGCTTCAATTGAATCCAGGCGCGCACCCAGGATTTTTTTTGGGGGGGGGGGGCTAAAACATTTTCCTTACACACAATAGAAAGCAATTACTACTCATTTTTAAACATTTTTATTATTATTATTACCACAAATTATATAGTATACTGTTTTTAATATTTTTACTCAAAGTAGTAAATACGTATTCAATGCAACGTATTAAATACGTATTATTTTTCGATGACATACTTTTTAAAAAAAGTATGTCATCGAAAAATGTCTGAAGCATTGTCAAAAAATGTTTTGTAATAAACCATTTTTTCATGTTTCAATATGTATTTCAAAATATAGTGAAAACCATAAATACCAACAATGCCCGTTTTATAACAATTGTAATTTTTTGTTATATTTTATACCAATACAAAATAGAATTTTTCAAAATTGCTGTTTTGACGTATTGTTAAGCAATATTATTATAGTTGAGCGAAGTAATCGTGTCTTAGTAATACACACAAAAGTAAAAATACGGCATAGTAAAATAATAGTTTCTCAACTTCGTATCGAAGCCAAAAGTACAATTTTAACATAGTATAAGAATATAAAGAAAATATTAAAAAAAAAAAATTACACCGAAATGTTAATTGTATCAAAAGTCATAAGAGTGTTCAGTTATTTCTATACAGTCTGTATACATACGTATATACATGTGTATGTAGAGTTGCCACGGCGCAAAGATGCAGAGGAAGGACATTTTTCTACTTTTTTAATTTATATTTTTGATTTTTTCACTTAATTTGTTCAAATTAATCATAGACGAGGTCTGGAATAGATAAACCCCCTTAATTCGATCGTAGAACCCCATCGCCAAAAAAAAAAACATAATAATGAAATACACATGTTAATTTATAAAGAAATATTTTTAAGAAGGGAGAAATTATGTTAGATCCTTCAAACATTTTATTCAATTTGTGCCTATGAAAATAATGTAACCCCCTTAATATTGCACAATTTGTATTAAGCCTATCGATTTATATTGGTGTTTTTAACAGCGTTGAAACATCCATTAGAGTAATTTACACGGGGCTATAAAATATTCTAAGTGTTGCAATATTATGTTCAAAATTATTCCGTTAGTGTTTGCTTCAATCCTATTTATGATATTTTTTTATTAAAATTATTATTTTTGAAAATATGTTATTATTTTCTGTTAGAATTAAAATTTAATTATTAATAATGCAATTTAAAACGTTTATAATGAAATCTATTTTATTAATTAACCATTATTAAATTACGATAACATCTAAAATGTGATATAAGATAAATTTTAAAATAAATTAAGTGTATTTATATTATAGCTATGTTTTAATCATACACACAAAATACCTGTTAATTTTGCTAACACTGATCAATTGTTCGTGTTTTTTTCGCTTAATTATAAATATATATGTTAGATAGTTTTTCAAATTAATTTATTTGTAATGATGTAAACAATATTGTCATAATTTATTCAAAATTGGTCTTATTGTTAATTTTATTAATTAATCAACACGTTTTTGATGATTATTCTTCATTTTAAACAAATTGTACTCTTTAAATAAATTATAAAAAAAACCCAGCACAGTGGGGTCGCGGCATAGTGGGGATGTTGCATAATTGGGTCCAGTATAGATTTAATCTGACAGTGATTAAAATCACTATCATAAGAAACGCTTCGATGCAAATCAGTAGATAGTGTTTAATTCTAAGAAATTGGTGGATAATTACAAAAGCTACATTATCTGCTAGTTTCTTATTAATACCCTGATTAAGATAAAGTATGTCGAATGAAAAAGGGATTATTAAAAAATATTATTTCTCATAAAAAAATTGTGTTGATTCGTACACTTTTCAATGAGTTATAGCATTATAAAGTTAAAAATGTAACCAACCCAACCCAACATCAACTCCTATTTCCTTAATTATATCCAGATTAGTAATTATTTTAATTATATATTATATAATTTTTATAATTAATTATTTTCAAATTATTATTGATTTTTAATATGTTAAAAGTAATCATTTTGAACCTACTTCTTTTTGTTCTTTAAAGTGAAAGTTTTAATAAAAAAAAAATGAATTTATTACCATAACTTTTAACTCAACTTGCAAGTTTGAAATAAATATTATTAAATAGAAAAAAATGAAATTGGTAGATTATTTCAAAAACAACAATAACACTTATTCCCTTAATTTTACCCCGATTTATAACTATAATATATGAATACATAATAATTACAGTAATTAAATTGAGTATGAAAGTGGTATTCAATAATATAATATTGTAATTTTTACGGAGATATTATAAAAATAAAAAGGAGTTGTATATTCATATACTTTTAATGCGTATACAAATTTAAAGGAATTTATGCAATACTTTTTAATAAAAAAATTTTGTTACTTATGAATAAATACACTAAACAAAAGGAACTTTCATCAGAAAAAAAATATACTTTTCTAAATAAACTTTTCGTGATGTTTTCAAATGTGCAATTAAACTTTTTCTATTACTTCTAAGTTTTAATATTATTACTTATTATTAAAAAATAAGTATTTACATATAAAAAAAAATAATTAAGAACAAAAAAAATTGTATTAAATTAATACTGATTTTGATTTTTAATATGTTAAAGGTAATCATTTTGAACCTATTTTTTATTGTCTTTTAAAGTGAAAGTTTTAATGAAAAATACCTTCTCAGCTTCGCATCGAAGCTAAAAAATGAATTTGTTACCATAACTTATAGTTCAACTTGCAAGTTTGAAATTGACATTATTAAATTGAAAAAAATGAAATTTTTAAGATTAATATGCAATCTGGAAATTTTATAATTACTAATTACAGTACATTTATCAGAAAAAATATTTACTCAATTATTTTTATCGTAATAGATAACTGAAATAGAAAGAATAGTAATCATATCCTAATAACTTTTGGTGTTTAAAAAAATTCTGCAATTGAAATATTCAGAACTTAATTAATTTTAATAATTTACTTTAATTAAATGAACCAATCAAACCAAAGTAGTTAAAAAGATTTACTCAATTGAGCATATTATCAAAAATATAATTATAATTGTAAAACTCCATCGTTAACTTCAGGTGAAACTAAAAATCATTTTTTTTTTAAATTTATGATTTATATAGCAACATATTACTAAAAAATTTGGCATATTATAGACTGGTAGTAGCACACAGAAATAGAGTTAAAAAATTAATAAATTATAAAGTAAAATTATTTACTTTTGTAGTTGAATACTTTTATCATATCAAATTTAATTCGACAATAAATAATTTAAGAATATTAAAAATTAATGATTTTAATTGTTTGTATGGACAAATCTAGTTAAGCTACTTTTTATTTGAATAAGGAATATTTTTTTGATTTTTAAGAGTAATAACTTAAACTAATCATTAACTTAAATATCATAAACTTAAATGAATCATTTGACGTATCGTTGAAAAAAGTAGGTCTAGTGAGGGTTGGCAAAATAAATCGTATCCACAAAAAAAACCACATAGTAAAATAATATTAACATGAATAT